CCAATTAAGGATCTGCTCTTACATCCTTGTCTGAGGCTCTTCTTTCAGTGAAGCCAAATTAAGAAACTTATTTTCCACAAGTGCAAATGAAAGAATCAATAATTGAGTGACTTTTAAATCAATTTAATTTATTTAATTTTTAAAACAATTCTATCCTTAATTCTGTTGGTATCATTTTTGTCATCATCATCACCTTTATCGCTCATGGTAAAGTAAATAAAATATGCAAACATATTTAAAGGTTATATGTAAAGAGTTTTGTATAAGACTTGGGGGCCTGGCAAAATTATCTTTCACTTGGGGGAAATAAGGAAATGGAAGAATGAAATTGGGACATGAGATTGAAGTTGGTTTCTGATTTTGACCAGGAGAGATGAAGGAAAGGAGAACATTGATTATATAGAAACCATTTGCCCAGTTAATTGCATTATCCTGTAATGATGCATATTTATCTTCTGATACATATTTACCTACTTTAACTATTGATGATCCTCGTATTGTAGGAAAAAAATAAGGCAAATCTAAAAGGATATTTAGATACTCTCAGTATCTAAAGCTTATTAATCAGAATAAACACATTTAAAAAACTGAACTCCTTTTAGGAGTGTGATGGTGAAATACATGTTATGGAACTTTCTCCCTTCTAATGATGCATATTTATCTTCTGATACATATTTACCTACTTTAACTATTGATGATCCTCGTATTGTAGGGAAAAAAAAGGCAAATCTAAAAGGATATTTAGATACTCTCAGTATCTAAAGCTTATTAATCAGAATAAACACATTTAAAAAAACTGAACTCCTTTTAGGAGTGTGATGGTGAAATACATGTTATGGAACTTTCTCCCTTTATGTTGTAGCTAAATTGTTTCACCTAATTCTCACCCAGATATTCCCACATACACATCAAGATTTGGGCCTCTTTATAGTCTTTGCTTCTCCTGATGTGATATTAAGGCAGAAATAGCACTAAGGTTGAAATTCTTTCTCTGTGGCCTGATTATTATTAGTTTAGGAAATGTGACCACATTAATAATATAGCATTATAAACTAACAAAGCTTCATTGTGATCTGCCTTTAGTGTCATCACAGTTTCAGAACCTGTGAATGAAAGATACTGTGGTACAAATGGTTAATTTTGACCAATATAATTCAAAGTCAACCTCCTAATGGAGGAATGTATAAAGTCCCAAGAACATTTTATTAATACATTTAATACTACATTTTTTTTAACTCTCCAAGTGCTTTCTCATGGTAAATAGCTATTTGAACTTAGTTTCTGCTCCCTTTAAAGTATTAATCATATCAAAATTTAATCAAGTAAGTAAGAGGTAAAAATGTCATCACACTTCTAAAATTTGCTGTCAATATTTCACACCTGTATGGAAAGCAGATAGATGTCTAAGCAGCAGCTTGATAACATTCCAAGCTGCAACCCCTAATTAACTCACTTTTTGAATTATCAGTGAGATTCCATTGCGACCCATGCAGCCTATTGGCAGGGAGCCTGACAACAAAATGCATATTTAAAATATCAAGTAGGGGGAGAAATGCTATATTACTTGGCACAAATACTCTCAACCACCTGTGCAGAGGGACTATGCCTTTCCACTTTGCTTATTATAGATGATCTAGTAGTTATATGCTCTTGGCTTCACCCCAGTAAATTATACTGTAATCTCCCAGTTTAAGGAATAATAGTAAAACTATAGTGGATAGACTCAATATAGTAGTAAAAGTTAATTAAATTATATAAAAAATATTTCAGAAATATTTAAGTGCTGTCAATATTTGGGTCTGACACAATCTATGAAATTCATGTAGAAAAGTCTACAGAGCATACAGTTTATATCATTAGGCTAAAACTAACTTGGACACATTTGGGACTTGGAACAGAGAAATCCCATGTCATATGATAATTGAATAATGCAAGTATTTGAGAATTTAGTCTGAGACAGACTAAATGAATGAGAAGTCTTCACTATAAATACAGAGTGAGAAAGTGGTGGTCATTAAAGTTTTATGAGGCTGATTATTTTAAACAGCTTGGAATGATAAAATCACTCACTTGAGGCTGTGAACATTATGTAAGCCTCTTTGTAATAGCTTTTCATCAAAAGTGACTGAAATTCTTTTTTTGATTTAACTACAAGTAGTTACTCTTTTATTAATAAATACATTAAAAGAAATCTAAAAGCATCTGCTGTAATGAGAAAATGTTTATTGTGAGTGTTAGAGATTTCATCATTATCAAATAGTCTAGTAACAAAATGTACTAGTATCTACAAACATGGTCAGAATGACAACACCAGAGAAAACTAGCAAGGTATTATTTTGATAAGCTTTTTGAGAGGAGAAGGAGATGATATAATGATACATTTTATGAGAAATGACACAAACTAAAACTGTATCTTCCTTCCTTCCTTCCTTCCTTTCTCTTTCCCTCTCTCCCTCCCTCCCTCTCTTTTTTTCATTTTATCTTTATAGCAATAATAATAACTATTACTATCATTATTTCTGTGTCCTGGCTTCAGGAGAGGAAGAATTTTTTTTATTTTTTGGTTAGATGCCCAAATAAAAATTGCTGAATTTGGGGGAGGGAGACAGAGATCATCATAAAAATACAATCCTATGAGAAAGGAGTTAGAAATTTCCCTTTAACCTTCAATGATTTTAGAATTAAAATCTGCAGGTTTTTGTTGTTGTTGTTTCTCTAATTCAATCCTAGACTCATATAGTTACTTCTGGCCTGTGTTCTGGGACTCTCTCTTAAGAGAATTCTGTCCCTTTTTGATCACATTTACAGATATGTGGTTTAAATCCACTGCTTTAGAGTGCGGTTGCCTGGCTTGCCTTTTGAATCTGTGATGTTTTTCTTCAGTAGCTATATCACATATTCTACAGTGGTCTGAATGCTCCTTTGAAAGCTCATGTGGAAGCACGATCCCCCGTGTGGTAGTGTTGAGAGCTGGGGCCCTCGGTAAGTGATTTGATCAAGTGAATGGACTAATTCTGTCATGGATTAATGGATTAATGAGTTAATGGATGAGTGAGTTATCACAGGAAGGGTACTGGTGACTTTCTTAGGAGAGCATGTGAGCATTTTAACATGCATTCAGCCCTGTTGCCATGTGATTCCCTGTGCTGCCTCAGGACTCTTCAGAAAGCTCCCACAAAGAAGAACGCCCTCACCAGATGTGTTCTCTGGATCTTGGACTTCCCAGCCTCCAGAAGTGTAAGAAACAAATTTCTTTTCTTTATGAATCACCCCGTTTCATGCCTTCTGTCATAAACAACAGAAAATTAACTAATACATTCTTCATTGGCCCAAAGCATTTCATGTAGACTGCATTTCACTAGTTATTTCTCTAGAGCACTAGCAGATACCTGCTGTTTCACCTTGAAAAGATTGTGGCAAATTCAAATGTATGAACGTGGTTAATTAAAGAGTGTGATTTACTTAATGGTGTTTAAGAACATGGCATCTATTTTTGTGGGCAAAATAATATTTTACTGCTATTAAGTCTATTTGCAATAATATGGAATTTAAAAGCATAATACTTCATTGGGCTTTCCTCTTTTTCAGGAGAGGATTGACTAACTTTTTCCAAAAAGCCACATTCAGTTATAAGTCTTGTGCTTTTAAATGGCATTATACTCATGTTATGGTTTCTGAGCCAAAGAATTTTTCTTTTCTGCTAACCTCTTGAGGTCACAGTGGTGGTTTGAAGTCTAAGCTATAATTCTGTTCAAAGAGTAACTCACAGCAGGGTGTGTGCAATAAGGGTATTCGTGATTCCAGTATTCACATATATTCCACTTTACTTTTTAGAAAATTTGGTTCCAAGGCTACTACAAAGGCAGCACCCTTAAAACACGTCATTTTTTTTATATCTCCCTGTTCCCAAAACCTTATATAATGACATTGGAGATGCACTACTGAATTTTCATTGCACAAATGTAATTTTAAAATTACCCAGTGAAGTCCTTAGTCCCTCATGTGCTCCTTGCTCTAGACTGCCTCCATTCACCCTTGAGAAGTGGTTTAGGGGTCACCCTCTGGAGGTAGCTGGAAGATGATGTGCCCTTCAAGCCAGGGATCATCCCTTCCACTCAGGCATTTTTCTGAATGGTGGTAGAATATAGGAGTTGCATTTTATAGAGTAGAGTTAACAGCATGGACTCTGGACTCTGACTGCATGGGTTTGAATCCTGGCTATACTGCTTACTAGTTGTGTGAATTTGGGCAAATACCTTAAGCTCTTCATCTGCAATAGCATCACAGCAGTACTGTGAGAATTAAATGAGTTAATGTAGATAATGATCAATGTCTGGCACATCACAGTGCTATATATGCATAACTATTATCATTATTACCATCTGAATGTGTATTACCTTGTTAGAGTTTCCCAGGTATTGAATGACAGATTTGTTGCCATATCTGATTGGCATATCTGATTTCCTAGAAAGCTATGACTAGATTACTTCTGATTGAAGAGAGGAAGAATTATTTTGTTAAAATTGCATCTACTGCTGATGTACCAGGTCATCAAATATTGAAATAAACTATAAATTTAAAAAGCTTAAAAAGTTGAACTGAAAATGTATTTTTTTTTACAAACATATATTCACTGTGTGTAGACAACTTGCTGTTGTAGGTAAGACATACCAAGATGACTCAGAAATTGGAGGGGGGTGCATGTATTACTTCTGACTAAGGTGTGGGATTTTTTGGAGGAAATGGCATTTAAGATAGTTCATGAAGGCTGAGTACAATTTTGACATATAAAGAAAAAGAATTCTGGTCACATGGAAGACTACTAAAATAGTGGTTGGAAATATAATTGTGTACTTGAAACACCAGCTCAGATTGCTGGAGCCAAGAATCCTTGATGAGAAATAAGTTTGAAGTGGTAGGAATTAGATCATGAAGTGGCTGAATGTTAGGTTGAAGAGTTTTTATTTGTTCACCAACATTAAGAATTTTTTTTTTTTTTGGGTAATGAACGGTGAACTTTATTGAGAACTCTCAAGCATCATGACTTGAAGTATCTTTTCAATTTATTTTATCAAAATATTTCAGTTTTCCAGCTGGATCTGGGATTATTGTTTCACTACCAGGTTTCCAGCCAGCAGGGCAGACTTCTCCGTGCTTGTCGGTGTACTGGAATGCTTGAACCAAACGCAGTGTCTCTTCCACTGATCTACCCACAGGAAGGTCATTCAGAGTAATCTGTCTCAGGATTCCTTTGTCATCAATAATGAAGAGGCCTCTAAGAGTGTGGCCTGAGTCCTCCAGATATACGCCATAGTCCTTTGAGATCTGATGGGTCAGATCTGAAAGAAGTGGAAACCTTATTGGCCCAAGTCCTCCTTGTCTTCGAGGGGTATTAATCCAGGCCAAATGGGTAAACTGTGAATCGACAGAGCATGCTACCACTTCAGTCTTTATAGATCTGAATTCTTCAATTCTGTCACCAAAAGCGATAATTTCAGTTGGACACACAAATGTGAAATCAAGTGGGTAGAAGAAAAATATCAAGTATTTCCCACGATGATCAGTTAACTTGAGCTCCTTAAATTCTCCGTTTATCACAGCTGTTCCTTCCCAGTAAGGTGCTGGCTTGGAAACCATGATAGTGTCTGGCAGCTCTTCACTTTCCGTGGGCTCGTAGACAGGAGGCCTCTGAGGAGGGACCTCTCGCTCCCAATCTTCTCCTTCCCTTGCCTCCTGTTCCACATGGAAGGGGACCAGGGGCCGGGCTGCTCGGGACTGAGTCCCAGGGATTCGGTTCAGGCCTATGCCCCGTAGTCGGCTTCGGTGATCCATGGTGACTGCTGGATGAACGACCACAAGCCTCAGCAAATTCTAGGCCCTGAGCTGGGCATCTGAGTTTGGACCTGGGAAAGGAAGCTTGGGGAGAGTGTTATGTCCCTCCACCTTTGTGCTCTGGGCTGAGATGCCCCAGTTGGCAGCTGGGGCTACTCACCAAGTGGATCCTAGTGAACCTCCTGCCCACTGGAGGGAGTGACCAGGTCGGTCAACTCCCAGGCACCTACTGTGCCTCCCTCAGTTACACTGGAACTCCTTGGCAGCTGGCAATCTGGGTGGCAGTTGCTCTGAATCCTTTCAGCCAGTGATATTTGTGCAGGCATTATGATGTCACAGTGACATCCTCAAGGATGCTTGAAGTGGATGCCCTACCCTCAAGTAAGTTACCATCCAGCTTTAGTCAGTTTTCCATAATAATACAAATCAGTCATAGAGGGATGGTTCCAAACTTAGGATGCACCTCAGAAATGCCTGGGGAACTTAAGAACATTCAAGTACAGAGACCATAACCCCAGAAATGATTTAACAGGTCATTGGGGTGCCACAGGTGTCTTTGGTTTTACAATTGGGCATGTCTGGTTACCAACTACAATGTATATTGAGAAGTTAAAATAATAAAAAAATAAATTAAATAAAAACAAAGTTAGGCTTTTCATTTACCCTATCATTTCAGTTTCATAACATGGAGAAAGTATTATTGTCTTCCATCTACACATGAAGAAACTGAGGCTTGGAGAGGTTAAATACATTTCTCAAGATTTCAACCAAGATATTGATTTTTTAAAAACAACTAAGTCCTGTGTAAGGTATAGCTATGAAAGTTATTACCTTAGCATTCAAGAATACGACTGTCAGGAGTCATGGTCAAAGATATACACCAAATCGTTCTCAGAGTCATTGCTCCTGCCATTATCAGGTAGAGAGGAGAAGCCCAGGCAATGCAAGATGCCTCTACAAGGCTGGAGAGAGAGACAATTACTTGTAATAAGCCAATCCCTGAGGCTAGTTTCTCCTCCTTGGCCTTTTGGTTGGCTATATCATCTGAAGCCTCTGTGGTTTCCTATCTCTTTCTTTCAACCCAAATGAGTTTGTGTTGAATGCTTGGCATTATCCTGAATCTAGAATTTTTCTTGACTCTGTCTTACACCCTTAAAGTTACACTCTATCCTGCATTTTTTGTGTGTGGCTTATTGTTCTTGGGCCGCATCAATAACACAGCTACCTCACAATTTGGATTACTTCATGATGGCCAGCCCCTCCAAATAGAGACCCAATTGGGCCTACTTATTTGGGTGGGGAGGCATTTTCCATGAGCTCTTGGTCACTTGTTTCTCTTCATCTTAAGATTTTTGTATGACTTCAGGAAAATAATTCCAGCATCATAAGGAGAATGGGTGGAGGGGAAGAGTCTAGAATAAGGTATAACTGTTAGAAGCTTCCTGAAGAAATCTAGCCAGAGGAACTGATATGGGGCTTGAATCAAGGCATGAATGGCAGAGGAAGAGGGATGATACAGAGGAGAAAACAGATGCCAGAGATTGTGTACAGGGAAATATGCCAGGATTCTGCAACCAGTTGTGTAGAAAAGGGAAGAGTGAATGAGATTTTGAGTGAGGGTAACCAGGGTGAAGTTGTGCTATTAAAAGAATAAGGAAAATAGGACATGGTACACTTTTTAGAAGAAAAAATAGTTCAGTTTTGAACATATGGAGGAAACTGGTGAATAACCAGATGAAGAACACTTTTAAGCACTTGTAAATGAGGATCTGTGACTTTAGAGAGAGGTCAAGCCAGACACATATATCTGAGAATCATTTGAGATACTAATTCTAGTTAAGATAAAATGAAATTGCCAAGAAAAAGAGTTTGCCAAGGAAAGGGTTTTTTGTTGAATACTATGAATTTGGGACATGGGAGAATAGGAGAGAGAGAGAGAGAGAGATTGAGGAACGTGAAAGTTAGGAAGTTCTGTGGATTGAGTGTCCCCTTAAAGCTTATTGAAGATTAATTCCCACTGTGACAGCGTTAAGAGGGTGGGAAATTCTATTATGATAATTGAAACATGCGGCCTTTGGGACTTGATTAGATTGTGAGGCCTGTGCCCTTGTGAATAGATTAGTCCATTCATGGTTTAATAAGTGGTAATGGCTGTGGTTCTGATGGCTTTAAAAGGACAGCAACTGAGAAGCTTGGCTTCCTCTTGCTCAGCCATTTAAACATGTGATACCCTGTCTGGCTGTGGAGGGTCACCACCCACAAGAAGGCCCTCACCCAATATGTTCCCTGGACTTTGAACTTCCAAGCCTCCAAAACTATAAGCAATACATATTGTTTTGTTACTAATTACCCAGTGTAGATATTTCTGTTATAAACAACAGAAATGGACTAATAGAGAGGAAGAACAGGAAGAGGACATTCAACTCAGTCGTGACAAAAAGTTAATTCATACATTGTATTAGTCAAAGTTCTTCAGAGAACAGACAAATAGGATGTGTGTATGTATATATATATATATATATATATATATATATATATATAAACTATCTGTTTAATTATAGTGTCTGAATTTTTTAAAAATGAAAATTTACCTGAAGCAATTTTGCAAAAATTGCTATTAGACTTACACTCAGAAAAAGAAGAAAATTTAGATTGCAAATAAACTCACAGGTACTCACTTTATCAGACAGTTCTCCTAAAAAGAATACAGATAATTTGAAACATTGGTTTTAAAAGAACTGTTTTTAAAGAATCATGTTTAAGGGACACATGAATATAGTTCAAGTTAATTTAAAACCAAATATATGTTTATCTTTTATTTTGTTTATTTACATGGTAGAACTTCCTTGAAGTATCAGAATATAATATAATTAAATATCCATTGGAATGCTTCTGTATTTAAATATATATATATATATATATATTGATAGATAGATAGATAGATAGATAGAAATTTATTATAAAGAATTGGCTCACATGATTATGGAGGGTGGTAAGTTCAAAATCTGCAAAGTGGGCTCCCAGACTGGAGATCCAGGAGAGTGAATGTTCCAGTTTGAATCCAAAGGCCATTGGCTATAGAACCAGGAAGGACTGATGTTGCAGAGATATTCTGAAGGCAATCTGCTGTAGAATTTTCCCTTCTTTGGGGTAATCTAGTCTTTTGGTTCTATTCAGCTTTCAACTGATTAAATGAGGTCCATCCACATTATGGAGAGCACTCTGCTTTACTCAAAGGTCACCAAATTAAATGTTAATCTCATCCAAAAACACCCTCACAGAGGGAAGAGAGATTAGAGAGAAATTGGTAAAGGGCCAAAGAAAAAAAAAATGATTACATTGTGTAATGTCAAATATACTAATTATCCTGATTTGAGCATCATGTTTTCCATCAGGTGTTGATATTCAACACTATTCCCCACAGAAATATATAATCAATTATGTTTCAATAAATTGACAAAAAACAAAAACAAAAGCAAAAACACCCTCACAGATATTCTCAGAAAAAATATCTGGATAAATATCTGGCATTCCATGGCCTAGCCAAGTTGGCATATCAAATTAATAATTATAAGTCCACCCTGTCAACTGGTACACAAATGCATCTCCTTAAAGCAGACTTAATCTCTAAATGAAGACAATATTGTGGTTATACTTCTATCCAACATGATATAACTTTCCTGTGAACAACCAAAAAATATGCTAACCATTTTTCCAGAGGAGGATTCAAAGTCCTTGAGTAATATTTGCTTTTCTCCTTGATATCTTATAATTAAATACTATGAAATACAGTCAATATATTTTATATTACATGGTGTTCATACACACACAAATGTATTCATAACAAAAAGAATAGGAAATACTCATGACAATTACAGTCCTTGTTTCTGTAACTGGTCATGTGGTCGTAGCTTGTATTTCTAACTACCTTCTTCCACTACCTGTTCTGTATTCCCTTTGCCTTCAGCAAGCACTTCAGCGGGTTGCAGTTCTTTATCTGGTAGGGTGACCAAAACTTTCATTCCTGAAGGGTCTGGGCCATGACTTGCCTGAATTGCCTGTAGTTTTACACTGGTTTTAATCAAAGGGCATGGCAATTCTAAGAGATGCCCTGAGGGATTTCCTATATTCCAAACACACTCTTCCTTACCTCCATGTGGAGTAGCAGTTCAATTTCTCTTTAGTAGTAGAATCAGCCACCACAGACAGTCAAGTAACTCCTTTCTTTGCCTGTTGATTCAGAGACATGAGGAGTCTGAAGTAGCCAGGCTAATTTTCAGTTCAATGGAATCATTGTTGTAACTCTTGGTGGAAACATTCCTCCTTTTGTAACTAGACCTCTAGGTCAGCAGAGCCTAAGGTTGCAGGAACAGGGAGAAAAAATTTTGCTAGTAGGCCACTGGTGGTAATAGTGAGTGGTGTCACTTCTATTTCCACCTCTTGTTCTTGGACCAGTGAATCCTGGTTATGGGAGAAACAGCACCCTATATTGTATGCTGATTCAGTGCATGGACAGCAGCCTCCTGCAGAACCTTACACCAGCCTTGCAAAGTATTGCTACCTAGCTGGTGCTGTAACTGATTCTTCAAAAGGCCATTCCACTGTTCTATCAAGCCAGCTACTTCAGGGAGATGAGGAACATGGTAAACCAGTTAATTCCATGAGCATGAGCCCATTGCTGTCCTTCATTTGCTGTGAAGGGAGTTCCTTGATCAGAAGCAATGCTGTGTGGAAAATACCATGATGATGGATAAGGCATTCTATGAGTCCACAGGTGGTAGTTTTGGACAAAGCATGTGTGCAGGGAATGCAAACCTTTATCCAGAGTGTCTATTCCAACCAGGACAAAAGGCTGCCCTTCCCATGATGGAAGTAGTCCAATGTACTCAACGTGCCACCAGGTAGCTGGCTGATCACCCAGGGGAATGGGCCATATTGGGGGTTCAGTGTTGGTCTCTGCTGCTTCCATGATGTATGCTTTTAAACACTTCCAGATACTT